CTTATTCGGGATTCCATTTGAAAAGCCTTGTTTCTCGAAGAAACCAACTGCGCCGTTGTCCGCGTAGGTGACACAATACGCAATGCGAGGATGGACGTCCCGAATGTGAGTCATGAAGCCCGCCATAAGCTTTGTGCCGTATTGCTACCCGGATAACCGTCAGGTTTGAACCTAGTATGGCAGACTGAACACACACCCTTCCTTGACGGCTGGTCAGTACCGTAAAGGTGGCCACCTCAACAAAACCACTGTCATTGAATGGCCGAAAAGTTACGCCGCCGACCAGCTCGTTCCCACTTTCGGTGACAATCAAGCTATGGGACGTTCTGACAGTCTCTTCGATGTCTGTAGCGGAAATGTTTGGAAGCTGAGCGTGAATAAGGGTACATAGACCCCTTGCGAGGGGCTCAGTGTCCGACGTAATCCCCTTAATTACTATGATATTGAGGGGTTCGGATGTGTGCGCAGATGGCTTCGATTGTTGTCCAGACTGCTGATCTGTGAGCTAGAGACGCTGGTCAGTCCTTGCCTAGTCAATTTTGGGAATACATATGCGTACCAATTTTCGACCGGTCACACTGATACTGGAAGAGACAGCCGCCACGGCATGGCGTGTTCGGCGGTCCGCGCCCGATTTAGCCAGAGCAGTCGATGCCGGTAACGAGTCGCCCCGCGACATATCTGCTCTGCAAGTCAGTACATCACCCGCCTATATGTGACCTCTACCCGCACGGCGAAGTTTCCACGGCAGTCGACGGTTGTGTGTGCTGCGCCAGTGCCCGTCTGCTGATCGCCCGTCTGCTGATTGCCCGTCACTGCAAACCCTCGCCTCACGATCGCTTGAAAACCGAGATAGCTGGGAAGACATGGTCAAGTTCGTGGTGGTAGAAAGCAAGCTATATACGCAAGTCCATTCCGCGATCAGATTTGTGGTTGTGGTTAAGTGTGGTTTGCCATTGCAAATGAAAATGGGAAGAACCACGGCCGGCGACAGCTATTGCTCGACAAATGACCATCACAGCCGTCACCATCTTACGTTGGTGTCATGGTATTAGCAGCAGTTCTCAATCTGCTTCCTGACTTTGTGGCGAAGCCCAAGGCGCAAAAGCAAGACGCCGACATGTCCAGGCTATCTGTCAGACTTTGCAGCATTGAGGATATCGTGCGGAGCGTCGCAATGAGATCCTCCTCAGGAAGAACACATCCGTCTCTATACGGGCTGTGGTCGGATTGCGCTATTTCTAATGTCGTCGTGCCGGCGAAGTACCCCAGGCAGTTGACCATTCTGACGGCGGGGATGGTCCTCGTGAGTACGTGATATTCGGCCCGGGTCTGCTTGGCAGCGTAAACATAAAGCAATTTTAGCTCTGGCGCCAACACAATAAAGTGTCCGAGATTGTATAAAAGGTCCTTGCCGATGCGCGTCTCGATCCAGATGATCGAGCAAATGCGTCACGGGTCGATGCGATAGCTGTAGAACTGGTCCAAGATAACCTGTGAGCCGTTGCGATACTCAGCTCTGTCGACAAGCGCATCAACCCAGAGGTTGCTCTCGTTCACAATATCTGCCACCCGCTTCGTCATTCATACCCGCTCCGCCATCCATGGCACCATCCCAACCACTGCTGACGACAGGTCCCCGCACTCCTGCTCTACAAAACTGGTGATACGCTCTTCGATCCAGACGGACGTGCATTAGTCCACCGAAGTAGCGGTAGGTATCAAGGGTTGGCTATCACCCATGTAGCATGGTGTCATGATCCAAGACTAACTACATGATGATAAACGCGCAATTCGTGTCTGATTCCTGCACACGGTGGTCCCCCACGGCTCATCGCCTGATCCACACTGTTACAGGGCGCTCAACAAGTTACGCCATTCTACACGATGCTCTGTGTGGACAGGCATTCAGATCCGATGCCGGTCCAAACGCTCTTCACGCAGTGAATCCCCTGGCGTTCTTATCCATCAAGGTTTTTTTTATCTTTTTTCTTCATATAATACACGTATATGGCCTTGTTAGTCGTTGTGCCTTCACTCCTCAAGGTCATCTTCAGGTTGCGTGGTTGTGAGCGTGTCGGTGGCTGCCTACTAGATTCGCGGGGTCCAGGTAGAGGCCTGGTGAATGTAATCCTGGGTCAATTCAGAGCTGGAGTCGCGGCTCTCGTGTGTGGCCAACTACATTCTGTGAGCCTAGGTGCGCCGGGGCTTCAAGGCAACCCTGAGCGCTGTCCGGATTCCACACCGTGAACCGAAAGTTGATGGCAGTTATCGCATGTATCGATGCGTATGACTGGCGCTAAAGGCGAAGAAACCACCAACAGCCACGAGCCAATAACGAAACAGGAGCGAGAGCTCCGAACTGAGGGGAGGCAACCAGCTAATGTACAGTATAAGTAGTAGTACAGCATGAAGCTGAGCGTCGGCAATACAAAAAGTGACGGACCGTATGATGTACAAGAGGGGAAGAGATCGAACCAACAGGAAGTATAGTACAACAGGAGGGACAGAAAGGAAACAGAAAAGAGAACAGATCTCAGAAAGACAGACAAAATACCGTAAATCGGACGTCAACAGACCTCGGTAACCGCTATGTGTCTCATACATAAGCCTAGAAGGCACTTAAGGTGGTACTAGGAGCGCCGGTACGTCCCAGGAGTAGAACACTACGGGTCCGATGAAAGGGTGGCGAAGTCTTGAAGGTGAGATGGCTGAATGGTGGTCGAAGGCCGCGTCCATTCAAGACACGCTTCGAGATCCAAGAGGTTAAAGCCCTTACTCAATATTGTAGATGTTGACTGAGACTGTGAAGGGAGGGATACGCGTACGGGAGCGCATATAGCGAGAGACAAGCCGAGCGCGGTCACGTGTGATGCCATCTCGGCAACGACCGAGACGCGACTTGCTGGCGGCGACGCGTTCCAAGCGCAAAACCGAAAACGGGGTGGCAGTATCAATACGACGGTTTCTTTAGTTGTATAATGCAGTGGCTCGGTGGCAGGATGCGCCTCGTACATAGTCGTTGCGAGGGTTCGATTCCCTCTGCACTCATATGTGACCATATTCGGATGCTTTTGTTTCGTTGGTTGACTTTGGCAGTTGCGGCATGTGTTAGGATACTAGTTTCCTTTTGATAAGGCGATATGGCTCTGCGGTGCAATGCGCATTGCGCGTTGTAGTTGCGAGGGTTCGATTTCCTCTTCGTCCGTGTCCATTAGCATCTCGCAAATTTTCGTCGGCAGCGTGAGGTGTTCAAAGATGAAGGGATTTATGTTCGCCAGCCTGGGTTTCTTGAGATAGAGTAGCCGCAGCTTTGACCCTAGGTAGTTAGCGTCAGAAGTGGGATGTCCCGCCCCATGTGTGCAACATACCTGCAGTCTAAGCGTATCTGAGGGACCTAAGGTGGCGTGTAAGACGTTACCCTGCTTCTCATCCACACGACGACATTCTACAACTTTCCCACAACGATTCCACAATAGCTTCTTCGGCCTTCTGAGCTGTCTGCCATTTGCGTCTGGAGACGCTTCTTGTTTCTTCTTCTCGGCTGCCACCTGTAATCTGTGGTATGTTCTGCTTCCCAAACGAAACGTTTGTGCGAGCCGCGGGCTGTGTCGACTCCCACATATCTAGCGCTCGTCCTTTTCGGCGTTTCTTGTCCCCTCCGTTTCTCTGCGCTATGGGTTACCAGATTTCGTCTAACATGGTACCGTCCGAGCTCATCCTCGAGATGGCCGAGTACCACTTTCCTGCCGCGCCGCCTCCCCTCGCGAGACTTGACCTGGGCGCTAACGCTCGATTCCTTAACGATCGGATGGAGTTCAACGAGACTCTTCACCCCAACCGTCGGTTTGCTGCAGAGCGTCGTATCCCTGAGCCTCCGGCTTTTCATACCGTTCGCGGGCGCCTTGGTTGGATAGGTCTCCTCCACATGTCACGGCACACTCGCTCAGCGCTCGACGTCCCACAGTTCTGGGCAGCGTCCATCGGGCGGTTGCCACCCAGTGCCACACTCGATATGCTCGATCGCAGCGCTGGCCGTCCGCTCGACGTTTATCTCGACTCCACGCCCTGCCGTGCTGGTGATTCCAGAATGACGGGGTTTCTTCTCAACGGCACCGTCCCGCTCGCGCGCGTTAGTTCTTTTACCTTCGTGGATGTTCGCGTCGGTGTCGATCCTGACATCACGATTCTTCCCTTCCTTTCTCTCATGCTGGCCCTCCAGTCCGTCGACTTTTACGCTGCACTTTCCGAGCAAGGCCGTGGCCACACCGGTCCTCCGCCTGCTCCAATCCGGTTCAGCATTTCCGACATCACCCTCCCCATTCAGCCTTGCACGGCATCTTTTACAAACTTTGTCGCCCGCGTGCGAGACGTCACACATCTTTCCATCTTGCAAACGTTCCTAGGCGGGGACTCGCAAGCCTGGGCTGTCACTCGCGAGGAGCTTCTGCACGTCTTGTCCCTGTCTTGCGACATGCTGCAGCCCCTCCGCCTCAACATCATGTATCCGGCGCCAATATTGCCCGCCAATGTGCATGACGAAGCGGTTTCTAATATCGTTACTCAAGTCGGCGTCCTTCGATGACTTTGCCGAGGCCGGGGACACGATCTCCGTCGTGCGCCGTTTCGCCGAACGCTTGTTATTCCCGCCCGACGCGGAGGTCGAGGTACACGGGTTCTGCATCGAGAATGTGCTGCTGCGGGAAGACGACATCGCCCAGTACTTTGCCGGCGGTGGCCTTGCGCCTGCAACCTTTTGCAGCATTAACGCTCCTGAGGTGAAGCCCGAGAGCGCGGAGGAATATACCTTGTACCGCATTCGGGTCCGGTTCTCCACCGCTGCAGCTGACGCTGCCTTGACGTTCCGCATCCGCACTCGGGCCGGGCTGTATACCACCACCATCGCCAGTCAGCTCGATAGCCTCGTCAGCATTGTCGCCCGCTCCAGCCCGAGCGGTGTTTCCCTCTACGCACCGCATGTGGAGATGCCTGGGGGTTACCAGCGCGCCCGCGAGGGCATGCATTACAGCCAGGTCGTTACTGGGCCAATCGCAACTGCTCCCCGCGTCAAACACGTCTGGCGCCCACAGGGAATCCTGGTCGGGTAGGCGGGCGCACGTGTTCTCGTGTCTTTGGTTTTGTATTGGATATCTGCATGCTATTGATTCAAGTATATGTTCATGCGCGCGCGAATTTTGAAGCGGAAGACAAATATACTCTGTACTGTTCTGGCTGATACTCGCTCGTTGCTTGCTAGGATTATCGTTGACGTCATACAAATACATGATGTTGATTGCGAAGACAAACGACGGGGCACATGCATGAAGTTCATATACGAAAAGACACTCTTTGAAACAATTGACCGCATTGAACTACCGCGGGCGAGGCGGCAAAGGCGCTACGAAGTCGGCTGATCCTGCTTGTGACACTTCAGCCGTTCCCATTCAGTGGTGAATCAGGTAAAATTTACCGCGGCTTCGGTTCTGTCGGTATGCGCATGGGTCATCTCTCGAGCGTTGGCGACCTAGGGGTAGAGGTTGTCAATCCAAAAGCCGCGCTTCCGTACAG